ATCAAAGTTAAAAACAGTTGTGCTGCTTATTAAAAGTGATAGTATAAAGTGACAGCAAAGACTTTTACATTTCTCTTAACTTTACATTTTTAAAAAAATCCTGAAAAAAAATGTACAAAGGTTTTCCACAAAAATTCTGCACAACTGCACAAACGCCTAATCAGCCTGAGTCAAGTGCAATGAACTGTAAAGATCTCCTGGTCAGTATGTGGGGAGCACTACGTAGAGATGTTATGTGTGGCATAAATATGGTGTACTTTTGAATCAAAGCCTCACAAATGAATCATAAGAGCTTGAATCAGTCATGCCCATGCTAACATTAGACATAAGCCACCTTATAAATCCTGACACAGCTTTCTAGACTCCTTCAAGGACTTAGACCAAAGACTATTGAATACCCAAGACGTGTCACTCCTATAGTTTTGAATGGGGAAAAATGCAACAATCAATATGGCCGCTCTATCGAATGAAGCACCGCAGTCTGAGCAAAGGAGCCAATCGCTAATTGGTAAAGTCAGCGCGTCACTGCAGCTGCCGTTAGAAGTCCGGTTGCTATAGAAACAGTCAACGCTCTGAGACATGCGCTTAGGACTACGCATGCGCACTGGCTGATCTAGCCTGAAAAATACGCTTTTTATACCGCTATTTGAGCAAAAGAAACAGCATTTATGACACAGTTGTTGTCAGATTTCATTGGTGATTTCAAATATGAAATTTAATCGTAAGCTTAGTGAACAGTTTTGGAGAATTTGATGTTTCCCCATTTAAAGAGATAGGAGCTGCACTTGCATGCCCGAGAGGCGTTTCAAAGATGGCCGCTGAGTGACATGACTTGCCTTAAAGGGACTTTGCTTAGACCTCACTCAGCGATGGTTCCTAAAACAACAAAACATAGCAATTATTTATAAAAAAGGAAAGCAGATGTCCATCAGGTCTACCACATTTGGCAGGTAGTAACAGGGTCAGACCTATAGAATAACAGTCCTGGGTGGAGACTCTTAAACCCCCCACTGTCATTAGATTGATGGGCTTAATGTCAGGCCACTCCTACATGCTAAATCAAAGGGTTGAGTGAAGTCTGACCACATATGGCTAGAAGCACTCTTGTTGCCACACAGAATAAGAAACATGCACTCTTCTTTATGACATGCGGGGGAGTGGAATATGATGGTGTCTAAAATAATACAAAATAAGTCTGATGTTATTTAAACAGGGTGTGTTTAACTAAACTGATGTCATTATTTCAGGACCCTCTAACCCTCAGCCATATGTTCTCGTCTCAGTCGTGTTAGTGCTGCTGACACACCAGCAGGAGTGTGAGAGTGCATAAGTGTGCTGTCAGCCTGTCTGTCACACACCCACTAAAGCACTTACTTCATTGAGTACAGTGCAGGTGTAAGACAATGAGATCAACTGAGACTTTTGTAAGGTCGTAGTTCAAGCGTATTCTGGCAAGTAAACTCCTCATCCGGAGCTAATTTAGCTATATACATTTGCATTCTTTGAGTATTCCAAGTTAGTGGCTTTTTCCATCAATGGCATTTTTGACTTTTTGTGTCTTAATTATAGGTTATTAATGATCCTCTCATAACCAAAGCAAACTTTGAATCGGCTTCAACACAACCCATGAACAAAGTTGACAGAAATGCACCACAGTTTGATTTCTTTCCAGCCTTCGCCCACTCTCTGTTTCATGCAACTGGCCTACTCTAATCATTGCAAAAGTCCTCTGTTTACGGTTTGCATTTCTGCTGCTTTGGTCTCCAATTATTTCCAAGCCTGGCGACCTGAATGACTCTCCTGGAGTCTGGGAATCTGACCCCAGAGGACTGCAGCCGGGACGGGTAGTTAGTGGAGGTGCTAATTGGGTTTGAAGGGTTGTGAAGGTCCAATATCAGATGAAGTGAGATGCAATCGGGGGGGGGTAAGCACGGCACTGGGGCGTTCAGTGGATAATTGAACAAGCCCCTCCACAAACTGCGTAATCCTGATAGTAGCGACAAGTACATTTTAGGACAAGGTCATTTTTATTTTTTATTACTATCAACCAATACTTCACTTAATCCAGAAAATAGTACAAGATTGTAAACTCACCACATTTTCTTCTTTTTATTTTGGTTTCAAATGTTTTATTTCAAACCATTTGGAATGCACTTGCCATGATAACTCCTTAAAAATGCATTAAAAATTAAATAATCTTCATTTCTGCATTTCAATTATCCTTTAATAAATTGCTTGTGATGCTCCTCATTTGTAAAGAATAGACTGTGGATAAGTGGACTGAATCAACTTCTTCATATCTTGTGTGTCATTCTGCAGCATATGAGTCCACATGAGTGTAGTGTACACATAGTGTGCATGTTTAAGAAGACATATGGCCAAGATTTCAGTGCTGACAGCAGCCGCTAAAACAGGAACATGAGGTTGTATGGATTACAGAGAAACCGAGATATGTGATATAAGATCTATTTAGATCCCCTTGACCTTGATTTGGGGTCAAGGTTTTGGGATCAAACAATAAAGACATTTTGTAATGTTACAAAATTTCTATTTCAAAGAACTGTTTTTCTTCTTCTTTCTAATCATCAAAGAATCCTGAAAAAATGTATCATGGTTTTCACAAAAATATTGAGCAGCACAACTGTGTTTAACATTGATAATTATACAAAGAACTGTTACTTGAGCACCAAGTTAACACACTAGAATTATTTCTGAAATATCAGGATGTGACACTAAAGACTGGAGTAATAGCTGCTGAAAATTCAGCTTTGCCATCACAGGAATAAATTATATTTTAAAATATATTAAAATAGACAACAGTTATTTAAAATTGTTATATCACAATGTTTTTACTGTTCTTGATCAAAGAAATGCAGCCTTGCTGAGCATAAGAGATTTCTTTCAAAAACATTTTTTAAAAATCTTACCAACCCCAAACTTTTGAATGGTAGTTTATATAATTTAGTAAATGTAAGAATTATGCCTCAGGAGAGTATTTTTGCTTATACTTGCATATAGCAAAGATGTTACATTGCTGACACCATCACTCTGGAACAGTACATTCTCTCTGTTGAACAGTAGTTTGTGCTCTGCATGTCACCTTCTATTCGGTTGTGATTTATCTGTGCCGAAACTATTTATGACTTCTTGCTCGGAGGATGAGAACGCATTGATCTTTGTCTATGAATATCTAATTCTTTTACTCAGCCCCATACTGAGAAAGTTGAAGATAGGCTGAGAAGTATAGCAGCTCTGTGTTGCTGGATGAGTTATTTATTCAGCAGACAGACACCAGCAGTCACAACAGATAGCATTAAAGGAACAGTGCACCTTAATTTGCAAATGAAAATACTGTCATAATTTACTCACCCTCATGTCACTCAAGCCTGTATGTCTTTCTTGCATGAAACACAAACGGAAATGTTTAGCTTTCTGAGCTGTTCTATTCAATACAGTGAAAGTGAAAAAAAAAACACCATAAAAGCATCATAAAAATGGTCCATTTGACTTGAGCACATATTTTTTAAGTCTTCGAAAGCCATATGATAGTTTGTGTGAGGAAAAGACTGAAATGTAGTTTATGATTCGCTAAAAATCTAGCTTGACAGCTGTGGTCACTATTCACTTTCATTGCATGCAATAGAGCAACTTTCACATTTTGCAATAAATATTTGATTTTGTGTTCCAAAGAGGAAAGTAAGTTGTACGGGTTTTAAAAGACATGAGGGTAATTAATCAATGAATTATCATGTTTTGGATGAACTGTCCCTTTAAATAGATATAGTTCACCCAAAAATATATAAAATCTGTCATAATTTAAGGCCCAAGTCTTGCGCGTAGCCTTCAAAGTATAGTCCATTAGAGGTGTACACGAATGCAGGCGGTCGACACGTGCTCTAGAAAGCTTCATCTTTGTCCAGTGTCTGCTCTATTTGTCTCCAGAAGTTATGACCGATAAAAATGTTTTTGTACTCTTTTTTTAAATTAAAGTTGCTGCTATCTCATAACCCTCTCACACAAGCGCTCGTCAGTGTGGCTGTCTGTTGTTGTTGCGTTCTCCGCTATTTTGTTGTTGTTGTTGTTCCCTCTCTTTTAATTTTGTTTTCTACAGTGAAACAATGGCCCGGGCCAGTATTGCTACAACTGATTAGTGCAAAACCAAGTCAATGCACATGTGTGAACTGCGCACACAAAGTACGTGCGGTTACAAAAATCGAATGGTGCGCGTACAGTATGCACATACTATTCAGGTGATGAAATTTGCATCACACGCACTATACAAGGACTCTCCCGTATACGTAAAAAACCAAAGTATACTTTAGGCTTTACTCAACCTCAAGTTGTTCCAAACCTGATGAATGTCTTCTTCTGAACATAAAGGAAGATGTGTTGAGGAATGTGGGTAACCAAACAGTTTCTGGTCCCCATTGACTTTTTTTTTCTTCTTCTCCATACTATAAAAAGTCAGTGGGGACCAACAACTGTGGTTACCCCCATTCCTCAAAATATCTTCTTTTATGTTCAACAGAAGAAAGAAGCCCATACAGGTTTGGAACAACTTGAGGGTGAGTAAATGATGGTGGAATTTTAATTTCTGGGTGAACTATCCCTTTAACACAGGAAGAACAGCACTGTTTCCAGCATGCCATCTGGAGTGGAGGTTAAAAAGAAGACCCTTGTTTGAGATGAAAGAGTGTCTCCTCTTTTTCAGCCACTACTGTACCACAGAAGGCATTGCATTAGGAGATTGTTTCTCTCTCAAAAACACCCACAGAAACACACTTCTTCCGTTTCCTCGTAGTGGATGTCATCTGGCTCCCATGCAGATTTTCAGTGCTGATACTTCTCAGATGCTGAATCTGCTCTATTTCAAAATGCAGTTTTTCACTGAATGCGCTAAAACATTTTGTTTTGTCTGCATTGCTCTCTAAGCTTATGATTTACTAAATAACAGATGTTTGATGTAAGCAGCTCACTCTGACACTCAATTTTCTTTACAGGAGAATCAACTTTTGTTGACGACTACGGGCCTCCTACACCAAGGGTAAGTTGTTTTTTGCATTATCAAACTACTTTTCTCTCTCATTTTCCTCCAGTTCAAAATGTACTGCACACAACATCCCTGTCTGCAATTGTCCTGTTATTTTGGCCTTCTCACACTAGAGGAAATCATTTCAAGACTTAGTATTTATTGTAGATTCATTTCCTCAGATTTGACAATAAATGGAAGGTCACACACACACACACACACACACACACTTTTTGCTGATGTACAGATTAGAGAGAGAGAGAGAACATGAAATAGAATGAGTGGAAAGGACAAACTTGATTTAAGATGAGTGTCATTACACACACTCTGCAAAAGGGGTTAAACCCAGTGAAAGTTTCAGCTGAAAGTTTACTCAGAGGATGAACGATGGAACTGTTTCATAATAGTAGGGTTGAAGCCATCACTGTGGTTTGTCGATGGTTTTTTTTATAGAGACTTGTTGAAAAACGAGTCATTTATATGTGTTCAAGGACACAGTTGTTTTAAGTTGAGTCTTAAAGCACTTGTTACATGTGCAAAACCAAATTCACTTGGTTTAAATTCCCTGTAGATTTGAAAATATTTATAACTGGGATTGACATCCTTAATCTCTTATAACTCCATTCTGCTGTCTGTTGTTCTGTTGTCGGTGTTTCTTTGTCTGAATATGGCACTGATCACATGCTGTGAGGTATCGGCTTTTGGTATCGGGGCATTTTAACGAGTACGAGTACAAGAGCTCAGTATCGGGCCCGATACCGATTCCAGTATAGGTATCGGTGCATCCCTAGTAATCAGTGTTATAATCAGTGTTTTATGGTTAAAAATAATTCCAGAATAACTCTCATTTCTCTGCACTACAGTAAATTGTGTTTTAGAGGGTGTTTGTCAATGTCAAAGGGAAAGTTTTGTAGTGCATGTTATATTTTATAGGATCTTCTCTCTAAACAATCCATAGTTGAAGTAACAGCAGATTTGTATGTATGTGTGTGTAAAAAGTATTCTGAAGTAAAGTGAATATCCACACTGGTGCGTTGACTGACAGCCCACACATACACACATTAGATTCATCTGCACTGACGAGCCGTGCTGATTGATGCACAACCCACGTAAAGAAGATAAACCATAGAGACAGATGTGCACAAGAATGTGGTTGAAACCGCATGTGTATATATATATATATATATATATACAAATTTATATATAACATTTTACAGCTCAGAGTAAAACATTTGGAAAATATGATTTCCTGAATGTGAAAGTAATGTAATCAAAGTCCAGTTCAATGTGTGCATGTGAGTAAATCATCCCCTTTCTACAAGGACCACTTTTGTTCACTATAAAAAGATGTACCTGTCCATGTAAATCTTCACTATTTTCCTAGGTAATAATGTTTAGTGTGGATCTGTAAAGTCTTTGGTAGCTAAAACCCCCCGCAGTTACTAAAAGACCCCAAGCCAGCAATGATAACAACCAGTTTTAACATCTCACAGCTGTGGCAAAACAAGCTCAGAGTCTGTTAAACTCTGAGCAGACGTTTACAGATTTAACAAGAGCTCCACATACTTATCATAGGGTGCACAGACATAATACAAAAATGCAACAGCAAAGTATGTCAGTTCCATTTTTTTCACTGTACAAGTTGCCACTACCAGCATCTCTGTAACTAAAGTATGATAAAATATGGTGCTAGCAACATCAAGACCACAGCTTCGATTTGTGTGCCTGTACTGATTATGTGCTGTTAAATAGAAAATCGAATGCATTGAATTGTTTGGGGTAAAAGCTTCTACTAAATCCATAAATCTACACAACCATTCAAAAGTTTGAGGTCATTTAAAAGGTTTTTGGTTCACCACTGCTGCATTTGTTTTATAATAAATATGGTAAAAACAGAACTATTTGAAATATTATTACAATTTAAAATAACTGTTTGCTTTTTCAATATATTTTAAGTGTAGTTTATTCCTGTATTTTTCCTTTAAGTGTAGTGAAATCCAGAAGTGTGATTATCTTCATATTACTCAAGGGGAAAAAGAAGAGTGAGAAAGGAATAAATGTCCAGAGATGGAAGGAAATGGCGACTGAGTGAAGGAAAATGGGATGTGGGAGAATTAGCAAGGCAGCTGGGCTCACACAAGGCCTCTTGTGTGTGTGTGTGTGTGTGTGCACTTGAGGTGAAAAAAAGAGAGCATTCTCTGTGAACTTGAACCGTATGTGTTGTTTCTGTTCCACATTATGGCGCATGAGACTGAGAGAGAACAAATAATGAAAGGCATGAGGGGGTCTTGTTTAGGTAGTGTTTACAGACCTAAATAAAAGTAAGAGTGACTATTGTAGTCAAGTTAAAAACCTTGTCACACTTTCAAACATAAACACAATTCTCTCACACTGCTTTTGACGTAAATGTTTTCTCTCAGGAGAATTTCTCATACAAACACATACACACAGGGGACAGAGAAGCTATCCAAACCCCAATTTCATCTAGGATGCTGGCCTACAGGGAATTCCATTCCTCCTTCCACACTGGATGTTCGTCCAGGAATTTACAAATTTCCTCTGACTTGCTCTTGAAGAATCATTCTTAGAGTGGTGTGGAGTAGTAAATAATCTGGGTCTTGGCTGGAAACGGGAAGCTTTTAGTCCCACACCCGAGCTACAGTATCACCATTGTGTCATTGAGTGTGTCACTTAACCCCAGGTTATTCCAGGGGGATTGTTTCTGTGCTGTGTACTAAATGTTGCTCACTTACCAATGCAAGATAATGCAAATGCCAAATTAAAATCAAAGTTTTGGGGAGAAATAACCAACAGGCAAATATTGCACAATTATTTTTAAAATGAGAGAAGCAGAAATTGTGATCACAATTAAAATCAAGTTTGTATGTACTGAACCAACACTGAACTGACTTGAGCCAAATAATGACACTGTTGTCTTTTAGAGCTTTACAGCAGAATATGAACTGTCTCCATAGTTGAGTTTTTTTTTTATTGATTCTGCTATTTTCCTGTTCATCACTGTGAAGGTACTTTGACACAACCTGTATTGTATAAAGTGCTATAGAAGAAAAGGTGACTTGACTATACTAAATGACTTACAAAAGGGATAGTTCACCCCAAAATGAAAATTCTGTCATCATCTACTCACCCAACATGAAGTTGTTCTAAACCTATATGAATGTTCTGTATGTTTCTGTTAATTATAAAAGAAGATATTTTAAAGAATGTGGGTAACCAAACAGTGGATGGTCCCTATTGACTTCCATAGTATGGAAAAAAAAATACTGTGGAAGTCACTGAGGACCAGCAACAGTTTGGCTACCCACATTCTTCAAAATATCTTCTTTTGTGTTGAGTAGAGGAAAGACATTCATTTAGGTTTGAAACAAAAAGTAAATTGTCATTTTTGGTGAACTATCCCTTTAAATGTACTTATTAGTAAAGGCACAGGAAGTGTCTTAATATTCATAAGTATTAAACATACTTGTTACAGATCTTCCTCAAGTTTGCAGTTGGTTGAAATTTTGGAATATCTGACTAATTTATTCAGAGTTGTAAAGCTTCCTCCTTTTTTCTTTCTTTCTTTATTTTAGACATGCACAATATCAGCACCATATTCCAGTATTGGACTTTGTGTGTTAGTTTGTTTGTTTGTTCATTCATTGTATATTTATAAAAGCAGTTATTTTTAAATGTATCAGTATGAGCTATTACTGGATATGTTATTGTGTCCACTAATTTCAATAACTTTTGCCATCACCCAGTATATTTTTATATTGTGGTCAGCAATAATTGACCACAATATAAAAATATTTATGTCAGTCAGATTTGTTTTTTTTCTAACTATGTATTTCAATGTCTGTGTGTCTAGGAGCTGCCATTTCCAAGTGAGGTGATCTACAACAGGGTTGGCAAGTGTGGAAGTCGGACAGTCGTCCTGCTGCTGAGGATTCTGGCAGAAAAGCACCAGTTTAACCTGTTGTCCTCTGACATCCATAACAAAACCAGACTAACAAAGCATGAGCAGGTCAGTGGATGGGTGTGTGTGTGTGTGTATGAGGCAACTAATGCTTCTGAGAAATTGTATAGCAAGCAAAAAGTATAGCAAGATAAAAAGCATACTATGATGAAAACTTGCTGATGTGATTAAATAAAGGTGTTTGCCAAGGAAAGTGCTCTCTGAATGCCAGCGGCAATGAAACACATCCGAATGGCACTCATTGTGGAGAAAAACACACACTTTCCTCCCTTTGCGGAGAGGAGAAGAAAACATTCTGTCATCCTGTTTGGGTCGAGTCAAGCCGTCACACCTCTACACTGCTAAACTCAACTTATGAAAAGCTAAAATAAATAAGCTAATTAAATAACACTCATATACGTTTGTTCAGTGGGAGGGTGAAATAAAAGTGACTAACATGAAAGTGAAGAACTTTTTCACTGGAAATCTGTCCATATCCAGGAGTACACTCATTATTCTGTCTGGATATTATGGAAACTTCTTGAATAAAATGATTTTGTGAGTGTTACATTATTCATAGGTTTTAGAGAGTAAACTGGTTAGATGTACAGTAAATACTCAAAGCTAATATTAAATGTGTGTATTTACATTGGTAAGTTCAAAACACATACAGGTTTTATTGCCATCAGAAAAACTAACTGTCCTAAATGCTGGTGTGTTTGTGTTCATTTTTAACTTCATACCATGCTTCCAGCTAAAATAGAGTACTCAATCCATCTTTTTTTAATACATTGATTAAATTACTTAATAAACAAGTATTTAATATCTTGTTTTGATGGGATCGTTGATACACAAGTCAAGTTTTATTATCTAATAAACCACTGATCTTGCTTGGAGAATTATCCCATCGGCTTTGTCCATAATTAGTTAGCATAACTTTCCTTTTGCGCATTAAGTGCATTTTCCAGTCCTTGTTTTCTCTGGCTGACATCTGTGATTGTGACTGATTACCTATTTGTGGCCTTGGAGCTTCTGCACAGTCTCCTGAACAAATGCAAATTTCACTGCAGGATAAGGGTCATAAAACTCTCTTTTAGAGGAGAAAGTTTATTTGTGTGTATAGAGGGAACGTTCAGTCGGTTTTTAACCGACCTTTCAACGAGATGAGAACAAATAAACCTCCTCTTCATCAATCAATCATAATGTTCAATTTACTTTGTGATTGTGTAGAACAAGGTTTTGTTATTAAAGGGATAATGAAAGTCTGTCAACTGTCAGTTAATATAATTTACTCCCGTTATTGCAAGTCTGTATGACTGGCTTTCTCTCCATGGAACTCAAATGGAGAAGTTCTGAAGATTCTGATGTTACAATAAATGGAGGACCATCATAAAAGTGGTCCATACGACCCTTCCAGATATGTTAGTCTTTACTGTCAGTATTTGATTATTGTAATGCATCCTTGCAGAATGCGGGAATTAATTTATTCATTATAAATATACTTTATTCTGATAAATATATTACATATACATTTGCTCATATAATATATAGTATGTAAAAATAAATCTCTATTTCAGGCGTGTCTAAAATACATGCCTACAGTGACCTAAATTATGTTATAGTGAGCAAAATAAAGCATCATGTCATTCAAGGTATTTTTAATTAATCTCAAGACACCAAACCACTGACCGCTTTACCCAACCTAAGGTGTTACTTATAATGTGGTCCTACCAACACCTATTTTATCATCACTTAGTACAGTGTATGGCCGTCTGTGTGCCCATGTAACTGTTTACGGAACAGGAAATGATCTCATTAAGATGATGTCACTACCTCAGGTTGTTACAGACTTTGTGTGTTTTGGCTTTGATGCAGCATTTGATAAAGAATTGAAGCTTGAGTAGAGCACTTTTTACAGTGTGGTTAGCTGTTTGATGGAGATGTGGGTCAAGAGAGGGAGGAACATAAAGAAGTTTAGGTTTTGGTATGAATGGTATTACGCCATCCCACTCTTCATATGGTGATCCGTTATAGGGATTGTTAAGTCTCCTTATGCCTGTGTGTGTTTGTTTTTAGAGACTGTAACATGCATTTAGGGACACATGGGCTCTATCAGAGCTGACTGGGGCCCCAGCCGGCCCTCATTAGGAAGCATTAATGTAATGAGAAGCCATCCTCATCAGATGACCTAATAACTTTCCACTGAACCACGCACCATCCACACGAGGATTGTTTCCTTGGTGTGTCTGATTCTGATACTTGGAGAGATGAGGTCTGTTTGCAATGCTTTTGCATTTGTGGTTTCATTTTTTGAAATGGATGCATTGCTGTGTCTGAAGAATTATTGTTTTATAGCAACTGAAGAAAGTGTAGCACACGTGTGATGTGGTTGTGTTCTTATATCATGCTGTACACAGACTGATGGACAGTAGTTTGAATTAGTTATATGTAATTATGTCTCAGTTTATGAGTGTTTTATTTGTTTGATAGGAATAATGTACTGTATAATTATATTTTCTGCAGCATACAGTATGCTTCTAGTGGTTACATTTTGTAAAAAATAATTGTATTTTTATTATTACCAAATATAACTTTTTGAATTGCTGCTCTGCAGTTGTAACTTGTTATACCCCATTGCTATTTTGTTTTGTCAGCATTGTTGGATAAAGAGATGGTCATGAATAGTTATGTAACATGCATTTCGATCTGTTTATTTGTGTGGGTTTCTTTCCAGGTGGATTTGATGAGAAACATTAGCACTATTCCGCAGCCTTTTTTGTACACCAGACATGTGCACTTTCTCAATTTCACAAGGTAAGCAAATCAGGAATGATTTATCTAAATGTATCTGATCAAGTACAAGATAAAAACGCAGCCAAACATTGTTTGCTGCTATTAAGTTAGTGAACAATTCAGTGCTCATCCTCTTTGTTTATTTTTTTCTCAGATTTAGGCTAGAACAGCCTGTCTACATAAACATCATCAGGGATCCCATTAACCGTTTCCTCTCCAATTACTTTTTTCGTCGTTTTGGGGACTGGAGAGGGGAGCAGAATCACTTGGTCCGCACACCCCAGATGAAAGATGACGAGAGATATCTGGTCAGAGGCTGTTTCTAAATCCCTCCCATTTCTCCTAATCCCTGTTTGGATTTCCCTCTTTATTATTTTCGAACATTTTCTCTTGTGTTTCAGTCATGTCTGTGTCGGTTTCTATAAGGATGCAGCAGATCTCCATGTAGTGAGCCTTCAGTCAGCACAGGTCCATCTGAATGGTGATGTAAAGGACTGACTGTAGTTCAGTGTGCTGCAACAGAGCTACATAAGACTAGTCTATTCAAACAGATGGGAGCTATACTTACATGCATACAAGTTTACATAGCAAATAGCTGAGTGACCATCAAGTGACTTGACTTGGAGACTTTATTTCTTAAGAATGAATTTCGCCACCTTGGAATTATAAGGTTCTGGCTGTATTCTGAGTGGTTTTGAGATATTGAGCTTCAAAGTTTTTGCATTCCATGTAGCAAAAATTAAATGGGGGGAACAAGTCTCTTTCATACTTGAAAATGACCCTAAATTTATTCTAAATGTACAATATCAAAATCCTCTCAAATTTGTAAATGGGGATTTTTGGAACAGGTCAAATGCATATAGAACCTTCTAATTCTAAAAAAATAATTTTCAGCTTGGAAATGTTAGGTTCTATCTTGCAAAACATTAACCGAAGCAATCATTTTCAAGAAACACAAACAGTTTACTTATAATTTCTTTTAAAACATAAAATTAGTGTTGTAACAATGTGTCGAACATGTATGAGAAAGGTAAATTTAATGCTTTCTATGACATTTATTTCATATTTTAGGACGAAAAAGTTTTTTTCTTGCTCAAGAAAAGGCAGTGCTAAATATTTTGTCCAGTGCAGAGGTTAATTTTAGGTAGGAATATGGTGGATAATTAAACACATTATTGCAGGAACAGTTTAAGCAGCTACTGTAATACATCTGACCAGGACTTTATTCCACAGAAAGTGGGACAGGTAAAATGGCTTTCTCTCTAGAGATCACTATGGCCGAGATAACATGCTAACGTTTATTGTTGTAAATTGTAATTAAGACCCCATCAATTAAATTGTTGACAATTTGACCTTTAAGGCTTAATATTGTCTAATTTAAGACATTTTAAGACTTTAAACTGCAAGAAAACAGACAATGCTTCAGCAAAGTTGTTTCATAAAGTTTAACTCTTAAATGCATGAATGTTTCTCCAATCATTACATATTAGGTTCTTTAGCAACCCGGACCTTTATCGGATAGATCTCTGCTGCAATAGCATAAAACTCTCCTGATATTTTAATATTTGTTTTCTGTCTGCGGTAATTATGAGTGAAAAATAACGTCATCATTGTGTATCAAACAGTGCCACTTTGAGGAATAAAGGTGAATTGCACATATTGAGTCATCAGGCATTTAATTATTGTTGTGCAGGAAAAATATACTTGCACTATTCAGGTCGCTAATGACCCTATACACTTTTTACAAAAAAATTATTAATCAGAAAACAGACATTCTTTTATCTTTTTTGTTTTTTGTTATATTGTTTATAATGAATAGATTGAGGAATATTAAGAAGGTTGATGTCTGACTTTAAGAAATGAATGAGGGGGAGGGTAGTCACTGACGTCCTGGGTTGTTAAAGATCCGAGGTATGCATTTAAGGGATAATAAACATTGAAAAATGTTTCACTAACTATATAATTACAAATATTTTACAGATAAAATATTTAATATTTTCTGCTGTCACAGAGCAGTTCGGCAACATGACAAAGAAAGTTGATCCTGATTGGTCCTCTTGTGTGCATTTGAAGTGCTGATTGGCTCACAGATAGAATGTTATAGAACCAAGTTAGAGTTCGACTTTGTAGATAGAACCTTTTTGTTTTCTAAATAAAAAGTCCTAAAATGTACACAACTTTAAAAAAACATCACATAATGTAAATAAGTTGTCACAGAATAAGAATATGACAAAAATGTCAGATAGAACCTTTTAATTCCAAGGTGATGATTTGTTGCACAATGAGTGTTTGTGTGCGAGAGTGCAAGAGTCTGGCTGTATGTTTGGAAATTAGCTCAGACAATGTGAGCAGAATGAGCAGGAATTGATTAGTCATGCTTGCTTTTTATTCAGTATTCAAGTCAGTTGCATTGCTAAACGCTCTGAAACTCAAGACAATCACATGAAAACTTGGCACTGCTGGAAGAATTACGTCAGTTGACTAAGGATTGTGACAGAATTATGGCTAATATCTGTTATTCATAAAACATAAATGGCCAGTTTCCCAGACACATATTAATCTGGAACGTTACCTGGGACTTTTTTCTTCAAGTTACTAGTTAATTCAGTCTAGGCCCTTTTCTCTGTTAACTCATCTTTTGGTCTGTTTAAGAATGAGAGATCTGTGAATATTTTTAGTAGGGGTCAAGGTTTGGTTAGTTAGCATGGTTTAGTTAGCCCCTACTGGTAGGTTACTACACCATCTGGTTACCTGGTAAGCATCTAAACACACACACATGCACGCACATATATATACAGTGGGTATAGAAAAGAATCACCCCCTTTAAAATAATCACATTTTGTTGCTTTGCAGCCTGAAATGAAGACAGACACAATTTTTGTTTTATCCAGCTGTATTTACTCAGTGCAACTTATAACATCCAAGTTATAACACCATGTCAGAAAAAAATAAAAAATAAAAAAACTGAATCACTGAGTTGGAAAAAGGATCACCCCTTGTGTCAGTAAATTGTTGAACCTCCTTTTGCTTTAATTACAGCCTTTAGTCTGTTGGGATATGTCTCTACTAACTTTGCACATCTAGACTTTGCAACATTTGCCCACTCTTCTTTGCAGAACTGCTCAAGTTCAGTTAAATTTGATGGTGAGCGTTTGTGGACTGCAGTCTTCAAGTCATTGCACAGATTTTCAGTGGGGTTTAAGTCTGGGCTCTGACTAGGCCATGCAAGGACATTCACCTTTTTCTCCTTCAACCACTGTATGGTCAGTTTTGCTGTGTGCTTTGGGTCATTGTCATGTTGGAAGGTAAACCTTCTTCCCATTGACAACTTTCTGGCAGAGGGCAGCAGATTTTCCTCAAGAATTTGACGGTATTTTGCGCCATCCATTTTTCCGTCTATCCTGACAAATGCTCCAGTCCCTGCTGCAGAGAAACACCCTCATAACAGGACATTACCACCTCCATGCTTTACTGTAGGAATGGTTTTATTTGGATGGTGAGCTGTATTGGGTTTCCGCCAGACATATCATTTGGTGTTGAGGCCAAATAATTCAATTTTAGTCTCATCTGCCTCAGAATCTTCAAGGTGCGTTTTGGCAAAGCTCAGTCGTGACTGTATGTGGCCTTTCCTGAGGAGTGGCTTTTTTCTTGCAACCCTCACATACAAGCAAAATTTGTGGAGAATTTGTGATGTTGTCACATGCACACAATGACCACTCTTTGCCATTAATTCCTGCAACTGCTTCAGAGTTGCTGTCAGCCTCTTGGTAGCCTCTCCGACCAGTTTCCTCTTGGCTTTTTCATCCAGTTTGGAGCGACGTCCTCATCCAGGGAGGGTGTTGTACCAAATACCTTCCACTTCTATAATAATAGACTTCACTGTGTTTCTAGGCATTGATAAAGCCTTTGAAAAAAAAAAATTTATATCCATCTTCTGACTTGTGCCTGTCCACAACTTTCTCCTGGAGATGTTTTGACAGTGCCTTGCCACCCATAGTTGATTGTTTGCTTCAGTTGCACTACCAAGGACTGAAATGCTCCAGGAAAGCTCTTTTCATGCTGAGCTCATCAAAATGACCACAACTGATCACAGTTGAAAGTCAAATGGTTTTGTGTGCCATTGAGAAGGTGATTAGCTACACCTGATTGACTTTAAAAGTCATTTTTAGGAGGGGGTGATCCTTTTTACAACTCAGTGATTGTTTTGTTTTTTTCTGACATGTTGGTGTTATTTATATCTTTGACTTGGATGTTATTTTGTTTTGTTTTGTTTACTTTTTTAAACTTAGTGTTTTTTGTTTTTTTTTTTTTTTTTTTTTTTTTTTTTTTTGACATGTTGGTGTTATATCCTTCACTTGGATATTATAAGTTGCACTGAGTAAATACAGCTGGATAAATAAGATATATATATTCTTATTTATATGGAGATATTTGATTTAGATATTCATGTACAGTATATACTCTTTTAAACATTTTGGGTCAGTAAGATTTTTTTCAAAGAAATTAATATATAGTTTAGTCTATTTGTGTATATACAAATAGTATATGCTATACAAATACCTGGGAGTCCATATAGACAACAAACTGGACTGGACATAAAAATTCAACAGCACTCTTCAAGAAAGGTCAAAGCAGGCTGTATTTTCCCAACAAGAATGCATTAAACTGATTAAAAGTGACCACATTTGTAGATACATTTATAATGTTACAAAATATTTCTATTTGAAATAACTGCTGTTCTTTTGAACTTTATATTCATCAAAATATATTTTGATTTAATTTATATTCATCATGGTTTTCACAAAAATAATAAGCAGCACAACTGTTTTCAACAATGAATATAAAAAGAAATGTTTCTTGAGCAGCAAATCAGCACGTTAGAATGATTTCTGAAGGATCATGTGACACTGAAGAGTAATGCGGCTGCTGAAAATTCAGCTTTGTGAGCATCTTTATGATTTGTAATCTTAAAGGAACATACATGACACAGGCCAAAATAACGATGGGAATTGAACTTATCTTAACTAATGAAAGACTACCGTAAATATAATCAGACTTTCACCATATAGAACATAACCTCCTCTTAAGATCCCCTCTCCTGCTGGAGGCCTGGTTAACCGCATCACTGTTTTCTATAGTTTAGGATTACTGTGGCTTGTGATCTTTCTCACACTAAACATATCTGTTTGCTTGATTTATATGTCTGTAATAGCTGGGCCATTTGTCAGGACTGAGATTTCAGATGGTATGCTATTGAAGTTTCATTTTTGATCTTTCCTTTTGAATTAAATTTAATTATTATAATCTGTGACGTACTGAGGAATTCCCCACAATCTGCATGGATGTACACACCCACACAAACTCAATGTCAGACACATTCACAAACACGTTTTCATTACAGCTGGAAGCTGTAGGATAATTGGGTGTTGCTTAAGTCATCCTATTAGTTTGAAGCATGTGAAGTGAGTTTCTAAAGTGTGTGTTAGAGCATTAGAGAATGACCACGCATATGGGGAGGGGAACTTTCTCACCTGGCGTGACTGAAATTTTACAAGCTGGTTTCCTTTCAACACTTAAAGTGTGTTCGTGTGTGTATGTTTTGCCTGGTGGCTGGGTCAGTGGCCCAGTGTTGTCTCAGACAACCCTCAGGTGTGGAAAAATACACACATACTGTATACAGAGAGAGAAAGATAAACTGCTAGTCAAATGTTTGGACACATTTGATGTCATGATCTTAAAAACCTTTTTTTTTCTCTTGTATTTTTTAAAAAGCAATTTATTTATGTGATGGCAAAGCTGAATTTTCAGCAGCCATTACTCCAGCCACATGATCTTTCAGAAATCGTTATAATATGCTGATCTGGTGCTCAAGAAACTTCCTATTATCATCATTCTTGAAAACAGTTGTGCTGCTTAATGTTTTTGTAGAAACCATGTTACATTTTCTTCAGGATTCTTTGAAGAATAGAAAGTTCAAAAGATCAGCATTTATTTGAAATAGAAATCTTTTGTAACATTATAAATGTCTTAACTGTCACTTTCGATCAGTCTGATGTGTCCTTGCACATGCTAACTCTGCTGTTCTGCGAGGTCATTAATACCCACAACAACAAAAAAACCACTGTCTTTGTGTGAGGTATGCTGGCAGACCTTCAAAGCTATAGGACTCATGTACTGCCCATGTTTTACTAATGACTGAAAGCATTAAAGTCATACCGCCTGTGTGTGCACATGGACAGGAAATTGCCCCTATTAATGGAACTCATCCAGGTTCTCAGTTCTGTGGTAGCCTCCTTGTCTCCTATCGTATCCTATTGTCTCATCTTGTCTCCAAACATCTTGTCTCACTTCTGCTTTGCTCAGTGGTTAGTCTTAATACAACCAAACATTATGTATGCAATAACCATTATTAATATTATTTTTAATATTATTAATATTATAGTATTATGCATTCTTTTTTGTAACTTTTTCTAAACAGAAAAAATGCTTTGTTGCACATCAGGCAAAGAGCAAGTTGCGTGGTGATGGTGACGTCCATCTGGAGATAGTTTAGGGGTAAATTGCGATGGCTGTGTTCCTAGGTGCTTAGTGAAATGGCCACCTTGGGACTGAATCAAGAACACAAGACCAAATAAGTGTGTCACCTGAGCTGAAGTGGGACCTCTTAGAGAGAGAAATAGACTGCGTGTGTAAAACTGCCCACTTTTACTGCTCGGGACATTTACTAGAAGCACGCTGTAACTTAATAAGTAATTTCATATATCCAAACAGACTTTCTTTCTTTTTATACTCTCCTCTTTTCTCCCCTCCACTGAACAGAATCTACCTACTCATTGAACTTGCTTTTAATTGTTGATTTTAAAAGTCTGGCGCAGCTTTAAGGCATCATAATCTCTTCAGGGATTGAGTATGTTGCTCTCCAAGTTGCTGTGTAGTTGGTGATCTGTTAGAGGATGATATTTCTGTTCCTTTTGTTCTCTGCAGACATTTGACCTTTTGGCCATCTGGCTTTCTGTACTTAAATCCTTTCCCTTTTTATATTCCAAAAAGTCAACGGAAGCCCAAATGGAACATGAACTGTTTGTGTTTCAGCAATAGCATCTGTGCATTCAAAGTGCATATCCATCAGAGTTTGTATGTGTCTCCGTTGGGGTGAAGTGGGGATGCAGATGAAAGGACATTGATGCGCTCTTGGCTTTTAGACTCTATTCAGATGCACACAGAGTGAGTATTGTTAAAGGAACTGGCTCTCTTGGAGCTCCACTGCTTTGAAGGAATTGCCAATGCATCAGCTTGATATTGTCAACAAATGAACATGTTTGTAGTACAGCGAAAGCAAGTTAAACACTGCTCTTTTTGCTCTAGTTCACAATCACAATAACTTTTGGTGAAGGAAAAAGTCAGATTGGGTAGAGAAATCAGATGAAGTTGGATAGAGGGAGTAGCTGCATTTTCCACAGAATGCTGTGCATTTAGGTCTTATTGAATGTGAAATGTAAATGTCTTGAAATTCTGTCTTGTCTGCAGATAATTAATGTTTTTATGCAAACATCCCAATCCATGCATCAGTCTTTATAATTACTGTACTTTTTTTCATTACTTATAATTATATATCGCATGACAAGAACATGTCCTGATCATATTTTCCCCCAAAATAATAAGTAAGAATAAGAACATATATGTTGATGTAATAGTATATATTGAAATGAAATATGAAGCTCAGTTTATAAACATTACACATTTTTGAATTATGACATTATTTGATAATGAAGCACTCAAACGCTCTTTACCATAATGGAAAAAGAAAATAAATTAATATAATGTGAAAACATATTACAATTAATAGTGTTTTAAGTTGAACACTATGAACATAATGCCCCCCCAAAACCCCAAAACCTTATCATAATGATTCTTTGATTTAGGGGTGAAATGCATCCTGGACAATTTTTTTTATAAATTGCCTTTTAATATGTGACCACATTAAGTCCACAGTTTAAATTATTTTAGTGAAATAAGAAAAATAAAGCACCCAAACCTTTGGAATGCAGCATAAGTATTTTGGAAAGTGAAACTACAGAATTTAGGAGGGGCACAGTAAAAAAAAATATGCCAGTTGACTCATGTTCAAAAACTTTCAAAGTGAAAACCAGCTTAAAATGAGCAAAATGATTTGGCCTAAAAGTCTGTTGTTTAAGTATATAAATCACCCACTGTTTCTGTCTCAAAAGGTCTCGGTCAAAACTGGCGAAACCATTACAAACATTGATAATTAAAACTGACTGATAATTGAAGAACATTCATGCTTTGAATGGTCAGGATATTGAGGTAATCCAAGTTGATTTCTAAACTCTTCGAGAAAATGTATTGAAAATTAGCAAATGTGCGTCAACTTTAGAGGACCTTTTCATTTCCTTAATAAAGGAGTAATGTCCTTAATAAAGGGCAGAGAAATAATATTCACTTTTTGACTCATACTTGGCTACTATGTATTCTACTATGAAAGATTAATGCTGAAATAACTGTTTTTCTACCTGCCAGCATGACTGCCCTTCTCTTCAAGACCCACAGCTTGCATGCGATTCCCCCCAGTTTTTAGGCACCCACCTGGGTCTCATGAAAGGGAAGGAGTGTGTGGAGTCTGGAGCTTGTGGCTATGTGGTCTTTACTTAACCTCTCTTGTGCACAAGTTAAAGACAATGCTGCTAACTTGACAAATCGCCCTCTTTTCCAAGAAGTGTAATCTTTACCATGTTCTTTTCAGCATGTAGTAAGTTCTATTAATATTCATCGAGTGTCATTATAGCATTGTTGGCTGCGTTGTTGTTTTGAAGAAATTGCATATTGTTGTCTTCTTTCACATCTTTCCTTTCTCCTCTGTTTTTCCAAATAATCTTTTCACTCTTGTCCATGTTGTTCTCTGAAGACTTCACATGTTTTGTAGTCTTGGTAATTAAACAAGGGAGAGGGAGAACTGATGTGTTTTTATCCCTGGCCTTCTTTGACTATTCTGGTTTCTTTTTGTTACCTAAAAATGGAAACAAAATACACTGGGTTTCATAGGCCTCCCCTGTCCTGTGTTTTAACTGTGGGTGGATTGCCTTTACATATTTTCCCATCTAATCTTCCCCAGTGTAATTAAAGCTTTTGGATCACTTAAAGTGATAAAACATTGTTTCTGTTAATGCACTGGGTCCAGATTACATATAAAAGATAACCAGTCCATTATGACTTTCGGAAGACTGTGGTTCATTGCTTGTGTAAGTGGCGCCCCCTTGTGTTCACTAGAACAGACTGATGGTACGTTGGATGGGGATTTACAGTATTAGAGCATATAATCCAGTGAAAATGAGTGTGTCTATGATTTATAAGCAGATTTTAAGTTTTTGCTCAGTTTGCCAGATTTTTGTTCAATGTGCTGCTTTCTTTTTGGCTGTAGCATCTGTCTGTCTGACTTATTTTGCCTTTTCTCCACTGCAGGACATTAACGTTTGCATCATGGAGAACTACCCAGAGTGCTCTAACCCACGTCTCTTCTACATCGTTCCATACTTTTGTGGACAACACCCTCAGTGCAGGTAATTATGACCCATCACTCTTGGGGTATTAATGATGAAGATGGCTGAAATGGACTCAAACCAAAAGCTAACACTCTCTTTAATGGCATTCACTGAACTTGTGCAAATAAGATTCTTGTTTGCATTTTATAATTTATTTGAAATGCATGTTTATTGTTATCTGTGGTGGTTATAGAGTTAAATAGCTGTTTTGTAACCGTGGAGATTTTCTTCCTATTCTGCACTTTCACAGGCTTAAAGGGATAGTTCACCCAAAAATCTAAATTGTCATCATTTACTCACTCTCAAGTCATTCATGAAGACTTTCTTCAAAATATATACAAAAGAAGATATTTTGAAGAATGTTTAGGTTCCCATTGACTTTCATTCAAAAAATAAAATGGAAGTCAAAAGAAACTGTTGAAAAAATCTTTTGAAGAATTTTGGTAACCAAGCAGTTTTGCTTCCTATTGACTACCATTTTATTTAGTGTCATTACAATAAAAGTGAAATGTAAAATGTCATAATTTACTCATCCTTATGTGGTTAAGGTAAATGATGACAGAATTTTCATTTTTGGGTGGACTATCCCTTTAAGATCTTGTGCTGTTTTCAGAAATAAATGTTTGTAAAATCTCTTCAGTTAAGCAAGCTGAAATCTTTGTATGATTTCTTGTCAAATAATTGGCTGTTTTTTGTTTTTTTTTGGTCTGCCTCAGGGAGCCGGATGTTTGGGCTGTGGAGAGGGCCAAACAAAATGTTATAGAGAACTTCCTACTTGTAGGAATTCTGGAAGAGCTGGAGGATGTATTGCTTCTGCTGGAGAGACTCCTACCTCACTACTTCAGTGATGTCCTATCCATCTACAAGAGTCCTGGTGTGTTTTCTTCAATTACTTTGAAATCACACGTTAGAAATTAAATAAAAAATAAAGAAAATAAATAAATGTGAATGCTAATGCACAAATGAATGAGCATGTTTGAACATGCAGAGATTCAGGTGAAATTTTTTTTTAAAACACTCTTTCATTATCTTCTGGGGAGATTTTGTAAACTCATTTTGCACATCAGCTTGAAAACAATAATAACTGAAGCATGTGCCAAATTATTTTTAGCTGTCTTGAATTGCACACTGTAGCTTTCTCTGTGGCTCATAGTTTTGCAAATCTGATTTTTCGGCAGAATTTTGGAAGATGGGGAACCTTACAGGAACAGTGAAGAAGCACATGCCCTCTCTAGAGGCCCTGCAGGTGCTTTACCAAAGGATGAAGTATGAGTATGACTTTTACAATTTCGTTCGTGACCAGTTCCATCTCACCAAGAAGAAGATCGGCCTCAAGTCCGCCTCCCAGAACTCTAATCATGAACCTGACTTTCTCCATGAGCTTGCCCTCAGGACCCATGAGCCTTTGGAGGAGGAGGAGGAGGAGGAGGAGGAAGAGGATGAAGAAGAGGACATGGGGCAGGAAGATGCCAACATCTGGTTGGTTCAGCCCTGAGTAATAGCCATGGAGGTGTAGGCATGGCAGACATCTCATAAGCTTGATGTCTACGTCCAGTCAGGAGGTAGAGTCAAAATTCCCAGGTTAAAATTGGGTGTGTAACCCCTGTTTTAAATGGGACGGCCCTGCAAGACACTCTCAAGTGTAGCACAGAAGGGTCTGAATAATTATTTAAGGAACCAACAATTGTGGCAAAATGATTTTGTTCATGTTAATGAAATTGAGTTGGTTATGGTCATTTCCTGGTGAGATGATACAAGATTGAAATTACAGGGATTTTGTTGGATTGTCAGAATGGAGGGATGGACTAATTGTGGTATAACAGAATGAGATGCTGTGGAAGTCTGATTTTTAGGCACTACTCCTGTACACCTGGAACCTGGGTGATCGGACTCACACATCAAGACACACTTTCACACGTAAACAAATTCAGATTACGCTATGACTAGGCAAGTGAGGATCACAACAACGTGCCAAACCTTCAAAGTGCCTAGAAGCTGTAACTGTAATCACTGTAAACTACTCAAAAACACCAATCAGCTCTCATTATCTTATCATCTCATTGTCACTTGCTTCCCCCTCTGGTTCCAGAAACCTTCTGCAACTCTGTGCCAGAATTTCAGTGCTAGTCTTTTTTGAAAGGATCTTTTTTTATATTGTGCATGTAAGGTGTTATACAAGGAATCAAACACTTTTGAATGCCTGCAAGATGTCAAATGCAGCACACTGTTCATCTAAAATGTTTGATGTGGATGTTAAACATTTCCTGGCCTTGTCAGTGAGTCAACTCTTGTGTTCAGTCATTTTATAAAATTGGGCCTTAAAGTTCCCATTTGGTACATAATGTGCTAAGAACACTTGAAGTAGTAGTTCACACGAAAATGTAAATTGTAATGATGTTTTTTTTAGCAGCAATACAATTTTATCTAATTTTTCTCAGTGTATAATGTAAAACTACTGGGATATCAAACAATACCCTGCTAGTTACAGCTAAACAATTCAAAGTTCACAAGTGGTTGACACCGTACTCATATGCCAGTGCCTAATGTTTTGGGTAGGATCACACAAATTAAAACAAAGTAACAAGAGGGTAATATCAAACTATATTAATTATTTTGGAGGAATATACTTATGATCAATCAAGCTGTCAGACAGCACATGGAAAAACAAGTTTGACAACAGGACAGAAAATGTTTCATGAATGTGAAAACATGAGTTTGTAAATTACATTTAAACCCAATTTAAATGCTGCCCACATATCAACACCTATAGGTCCATAAGGTTCCTGTAGTGTATTTTAACTGAAGAATGCATTAATTAGAGGTCAGCCTGATGGGGTATTTTTGTTGAACTATGCTGGTAAAGTGAAATGAACGATTAATACATGACTAAATAAATGCTATAGCTACAAGCTCTCACAGAATTTAACACTTCCCATTTAAACTTGCCAGTTAAGTATATAGGTGTATGTACTTGTTTTGTGTTCAATGTGGATTTTTATATTGTTTAATTTATTTTACAGTATTACTTTTGATGATTGCATTCCATGTACGAATCTCAGGAAAAAAAAAAGAGCAGATATATTTTTGTTTTTTTTTGGCATCTAACAGCTGGTAAATATTAAAGCATCTGATAATTGTTACTTAAGGACAGATGGAGTGACTCTTTTGGATACCAAAATTGAATGAAATTGCTAACATTACAAATTAACTGCACCTTTACTGGGAAAGCTCTCAAAATAAAAGTATTATAACAGCCGTTGTATAACCTTTTCATATGTGCTGTATGGAAATATTTCTTATATTTTCTTATGGTTACAAATGGTTATGTCTTATTTTATAGTAACAAAATTATTTATATTTTGTATTTTAATTGGATTTTTATGGCAGTTTAATACCCCAATATTAATATTAGTTATTTTATATATGGATTATAATAGTGTTTACTATAGATTTAAAAAATTATGTTTTGTTCGCGACCCCATTTAAAGCATACCACGACCATCTCTAGAATTCTTACTAGAACTGATTCATTTATTACATTCACTGAAACTTGAAGGGTGTGACTGTTTTCCCGCCTCCAAAAGACTGCGCGAGCAAATAGCATTCGAGTGTGGGCTGTGAAGGCGCATTTCATTTATTGAACCTACTGAGTGGACGATCACGCCCCGTTTACTGAATGAGTCCAGTGGTATGAACAAGCGAGCAAGGTATAATAAAAGTCACAAAAAGCACCGGCTAGAAGGGATACAGCTGCGGCTACTGGACATGCGCACAACAATAAAAGAACTCTATTATTGTTGTACTTTTTGATGCTTTGAATCGATTGAGTGAGTGAATAGTTATTCAAAGATTCACTCATAATACGTTTATTTGTCACCACCTACTGGTGTAACGATGCATAACGTGCATAAATGAATCTTTTTGGAGAATGGATTCAAAAGTATCGAGTCACTAAGATGAATCAAAATCCCTACCACTAATAAATACGCCCGCGGTCTTCTCTCGGAAATGGCAGGATATGGCAATTGTAAAATAGCGGTATAAAATAATTTTCTGGACACTTGTTTGCAAAGCGTTCTAAAGAAACTGAGGAATTACTGCAAAGGCCTGCTGATCAAGACTCAAACTGTCCTTCCATATCTTATCAGTTTGGATAAACATGCAGGACCTTCCATCACATAAAGTGAAGGTAAGCGACAGAATTTCTTATTTATAATTTAGATCAGGGCTGTCCAAACTCGGTCCTGGAGGGCCGGCGTCCTGCAGGGTTTAGCTCCAACTTGCCTCAACACACCTGACTGGAAGTTTCTATGCCTAGTAAGCTTGATTAGCTGGTTCAGGTGTGTTTAATTGGGGTTGGAGCTAAACTCTGCAGGACACCGGCCCTCCGGGACCGAGTTTGGACAGCCCTGATTTAGATGTTCACATATTTTCTGATTACACGGCTGTTTCAAACCCAAACGCTCAAAATGACTGACGGGTAGAAGGTAGCGCTTTTTTCATGTGCCAAATAGAGGTTTTAACGCCAGAGGTTTGAGTGTTTACTTTCTTACAGATATTATATGCTGCCTTGATACACGAGAGAGAAATAATATGAGATAAGCGTTACAGTAAATAAGAAGCTGCTGCAACAACCTGCTACAGACGGTGCATACAATGTTTCTTAAATGCGTAGTTCATGCTGTTCTGGATGTTTTGCTGTTTACAGAGGTCAGTGCTGTCACTGAGAGAGGTGTGATAGGTCTCAAGAATTCTATTTCCGTGATATTTGTAAGGTTTTAGGGACATTTTCTGTGCGCTATTGCATAAAAATGGCTGTTGGTTATTTATTTTGTTTTTAAAGAAGAGAGTAATGATGCCTCCGGCCATATTGTCCTTTAGGTTGAGATCATGTGATGGTGTTAATTGACATCTGGGTAGTTGACATTTCAGCAGTGTCAGCATTGTGACATGCTACAGTATACGTAATCTAATACTATTTTAAACCACATTTCTCTCATTTTAATTTTTGTATGTTATATTATGCAGTGTTTATGGCCTGATACCACAGAATAATTTACATACAGAGATTAATCATTTATTAATGATAATTTTAATTATCTTTTTTTTTTTCATTTTAAAAGAAATAATGCAACTTGAATGTTAATTGACATTTGTCATAAGCAAACTTTTATTTGTCTGTCATCTATATGTGAAAGATTAATGTGTTCTGAAAAGTTTGAGAAAAGCACTTGTTTGTATGAATGAACTTTAGTAAGCCAAGGTGTATTTCCCCAAGTTCAACAGAAGTGGGAGCCCTTGCTTCATGAACACCCCCCCCAGCTTTGCTGTGAGCTCTTCATAAATCATCTTAATAGTCATAGTTTAGCTGCATGATCATTTCCATGGCACGCACACAATCTTGTCTTGTCTTAATCTTGCATGTTTTTGCCAGGTGTGTGTTTAAGGTACCATTTAGATTGGTTTGATCTCTGTCATCTAAGGTTTGTCCTGAAATAGGTGTCTGTGTTTGCATCAGTGTAGGCATGTGTATTTGTGTTTAGCTGGGTATCAGAGCAGGGTCAAAGTGCAGTGTCCAGCTGGCCCTGTCCACATAGGATCATTTCTATTTGTGTTCTATTTGTGCCAGCACTGATAATCCAGACCTCAAATACACAAACAGGGTACAACATGGCCCCCTGGCATTTTTAAAAACCGTTTTCAACAGCTTTCGAATAAGTGATATAAAAAATGGCAGTAAATGCAGAATGCCTGTACCATAATAAACGAGTGGGTCAATTTGTTGTGTAAGATATGTAAAGTAGGCCTGCTTGGACTGTTCCAATCACAATGGAGATTAATTTGTTAAATATGCTTGTGCTGACAATAGTACTCCAATATACACAAAAACAAAAAGGTGTGAATGTGAATATGTCCAGTAGGGGCCATAAGTAAATGAATAACACACCAATTGCCCTTTTGTACATTCAGAATCTCTTATTGCAACAATAGACTGTTAGGCTATTTATTTGTGACTCTTTTTTTTAGTAAGGGCTGGCAGTGCACAGCTTGTCCCGGGCCTCCTCCCCTCTGTCACAGCGAATGAGAGACGCCTGCCTTACGCCCACTAACCTGGAAAATATTTCCCACCTTTTTCCATTAGTAGATACTTCGCATCAGAGAATGAAAGATGAATTAATTATTTTAATGAAACACTAATTTAGACATGATATCATATTTATTAATATATGACATTCTTTAGGCAATCGTGTTGCTATGACAACTGTACACGACTATAGCAAGAATCTACTACCCCTGTTTCTTTGGTCCAAAAACACAATAAATTCATAAGCTTGAGGAAAATAGTATATGCATTGAATATTAAGTCTTAAGAAGTCTATGACGAGAAAGATAGCTGTATGACAAAAAAATCAAATCCTCAAGTCAAGACTTTACAAGTGTTTTTAGAAGATAATACTATTTTGAACTCTTCTACATTGCATTCCTCATGTCATGCAAAGCTAGGGAGAACACAGAACAGTAGGATAAAAATAATGAAAATATTAAGTGACAAAACAAAAGCACCCAGAATAAAAAAGTTCTGCAGTACTATGAACAATACTGATAAATCTGGAGCTAAACCCTGAGATGCAATTGTATAAAAAACAGCTTCTACAAACAAGGTCTGTCTTTCAATGAATCATGCATAGAAACATATCACACCATTAACTGATAATGAACAAGTGTTTCCTTTGTCCACTGAAGCCGAAGCCAATGCTCTTGCTAATACAGTCCGTGAAAGTAGGTAAGTGGTGTTTAAGATCCATGACACATTAGTGCATCGTTCATTTATCATTATTTTACTATGTTCACATTGCTATAATAAATTTATTTGCAAAAACTATTGCTAAAATCAGCAAATTGTAAAAACTAAAGATGCGGTCACATTTACTTTTACTGGTGAAATCCAGTCATTTCAATAGGAGTCCACGCTGTTTTCACAACGGGTTCAAGTTGGTCACAGATTCTTGGTTTGAAAGTGACTTCTGTGTGAACTGTGCTTCATGCATTGCTACACTTATTAACAATAGACAATGGAACGTTTTGCCCCAAAATCTTGCTGAAATTTCACTAATGTGACTGCACCTTAAGAGTCTGTGTAAGTGGCTGAAATGCAAAAATGTAATGTATTTGTGGTTTAAATAAATGAGGTCCTGCCTTGCAAGCTATTTGTTAAAATTAACATGATATTTTTTCAGAACAATTACGAAATATCAAAACATTCACAATCAAATATACCAATATTTTTTTTAATAATGATCCAAACTCTCACTCAAACTCACTCACAGCCTCGTCTATTCACAAATGCCTGCAACGACAAAATTAGTATCACACTTGTCAAAAACATTTGATGTCTCATTCAGACTTGTATACTGGAGTAGGTACGGTTCGCAGTCAGTCAAGGCACTTTCAGGAATCCTGTGTGAAAATGGATTTAAGCTTTGATGCTTTGGTTCATCTCTAGCACATCCACTGCAGTGTTCTTTTTGTTGGGCTTGGAGCCCAGAGCTTCAGCTTCTTCCAAAGTCGAGGTGAGGGGCTGTCCCAGAGTCTCCGGAAGAAAAAAGGTCAAGATCCCAATGATGAAGGCCAGAATTCCCACAATGAGCTACAGAATAATAGAGAGCAGAAGCTACTGTATTACTGTTCAGTCCAGCAAATATATATCATGTTGTATCATGCTTCAGTTCTAGAGTTACACAATTGACCAAACAGTACTACATGAATTGAGTGCTGTTACTGTACATACCTGTGGCAGATAGATCCAGATGTCAGCAAGGTAAACACAGAAAGGAGCCACCACACTTCCCACCCGACACATCATACTACCACTGCCTACAGCCAGAGACCTGTTGGACCAGATATAGTGCCTGATATTAAATACGGTGTCTATGATCACTAGATGATCATCCTACAATCAACTTCAGATATGCCCAGTAAAGAAACTGATGAAACAGATTGTTTATGGAATTATATGTATTGGAACATCGTAAATATTGTCAAAGAATTAGCGGTACTAGATTAAAGTGAAGCAGACCACAGCAGGGAGATTGAAAATGAGTAACTTACTTTGGTGGAGTTTAATCAAGTCCAATTATGATATTGTGTTGCATGGCAATGAATGTTTTATACTATAGTACCTCATCTATTGCAGTGTGTATTGTGAGGTAAATTAGAGATAAGCAGCCTGAAGACTGGAATTCTCTACAT